CTTCGTTGAAAGCAGTGATTACCCCACTAAACAGAAGTGTTCTATTTTGAGATGGTAACTAACTGGTAAAATAGGTAAGCTGCACTTCGCTTTTACCAATTTTTAAAAAGGAACCGTTTTTTGAGTAGATGCCTATCTCCCCTCTGAGGAAGATGCAATTTGGTCTCTCTTGTCAATGCAGGTGATGGTATTTTACAGATCTATTCAATTTTAGTAAAATAGGAAGACGACTATTTATTGTCGGCATTGTTTTAACCAGTTGGACATTATTTGAGTACAGCCTTCTCCTTAATAAGCAATTTTTTTCTAGATTGCCTCTTCTGGGCTGCTCATACCCTTTCTACTTTTTCAACGTTGTTAGCAGCAGTGGTATTTTACTGATAATATCTGCAACGCACTGTTGTTGTTTTGCTCCAATAAGGCTGTTTTGTACATTTGAAGCTATTAAATATGTGCAGTGGAGCAACACTTCCAAAAATAAACTATCTCGAACGTGCAAAACAGCCTCTAGCAGAGGGCTCTCATAAAATCCTGTGAGGCTATATTTCCCCTTTTGAAGAGCCAGCTTAGCACCTTAATTGTTAGAGTGACTGTGTTGCATGTTCAAGACAGATAGGTTATTTTTGGAAGCATGGTGCAATTGCAGATGAAAAAGAGTGATGTTTATTTTAGGTTATTTATTCATTGGAAACACTTCTATCTCGACCATGCAACATAGGTCCCTGCTGGAGTGACTACGTTGTCTTGACTTAAGAGACTAACTGGGCTCTTGAAAAAGGGAAATACATCCTAAAAGGATATTGTAAAAGAACTCCCCGCCAGTGGTTGTAATGCATGTTCGAGATAGTTTATTTTTGGAAAGGTTTGCAGGGACTAAAACAACCCCTTCCCCCAGCCCCAGTTGAAGTTCCACTTATACCTTTCTCAGTTGCAGTAGAACCATGTTTCCAAAAATAAACTATCTCGAACATGCATTACAACCACTGGCAGGGAGCTCCTTTACAACATCCTCCGAAGGTATATTTCTCTTGTTCGCTCGCGTACGTATGTTTTATGAATGAAAGTCTTTATTTTCATTGAGGCTAATGAACAAAACATTTCCCCTGCTACTGCAAAGCAGATAGAACTCAAACACTGCAGGGAGGGAAGCACACTGTGCGTGGAGACCTAATTGTCATTGCTGGATGCTGTACAAACTCATGTTCGAAAAATAGCGTATTTTTGTTTCAGTGCTTTTCAGTGACTTTTGTAATGAGGGGGAAAAAAAAAAAAAAGGTTACTTGGGCTAGAAGTCCTCTCTCTTGTGCCTGCAGTAACCATCTGCTCTGCAGGCCTGGGTAGCAGGTAGGACCTAAGGGAAATGACTGTTTGGGGACTTCAGCTGCCCAGTAGCGCGGGGGGTATCACGTTTGGTGGCCTGTTACCTGCAGTGCATGGAGGAGAGCGAAGTACATTAACCTGTACCTGCCACCAGTTTCACTTCTATACTGACTGAGCTGAAAAAGAGCCAAGACCATGCACAACTTATGACAAAGTGAGACTGAATTTATTAGTCTCCAGAAATTAAAAAAAGGCAGAAGACATCTAGACATTTTGTTGTTGGTTGAGGGGTAGGAAAGCTTTGTATAATTCACATATGTAAAGTGATTGATAACAACATATCCTGCAACTCCTTGCAGTCCCAAGGAAGGGCAGACAATGATAATGTCAACTTTCTGCAAATTAACCCCCCCCCCCCCCAACCAAATAATGGTACTGTGAAAACTATGGTAAAGTAACATACATGACTAATGACTTGACTTAGCTGTTTACACAATGTTGTTCATTAATTCTTTTGACAAAAAAGGAAGCAGGTTAAGCGTTCCCCAAAACAAATTACAACTGGAACCACTCCCTCAGCACTGCTTTTTTTTTTTTAAGACAATGCTGTTGTGAAAAAAAAATAGAAATAAATGTACAATAGTACATATAGTTTTATAGTAAAACAGTATCTGAACAGATTCAGTTTTCCTTCTTTTATTAAAGCATATACAGCTTTATAAAATATAAACCTTCCAAAGGTCAAGTTCAAAAGCTTAGAAGAGGCTTTGCTAATTCTAAAGATAACAGCCAATACACCATTGCTTCTAGAAGATAAACATTTTATTTTACCTCACTGATTTCAGCCTTGGAAGGTGAACCAATAAGTGGAGTAACACATTCTGTGTAACCCCTGCAGCCATCTGACATGTCAACTGAAGACACCTCCTCTGATGGGGATGCTCTCATTCAGCCCATGTTCTATTAGCTTTATGTCCTCCAAGTCATCCTTTATAATGCTTATCAAGTGACTCAGGCCTTCTTGCTGCTGCTTCAGATGCTGCAGATAGAGGGAGAAGTTTTTAAAAAAAAGTGTTAATATAGTGCAACTTGACAGATTTTTTTTTTAAGTAATATTTCTCAAAGCTGCCATGTTGGGGGGGGGAACCTTGGCACACTGACAAACCTCACATAATTTATTTGTAAGAAAAAAAAAAAATCAGCGCTTTCCACAGTAACAGCTTCACTGCTTAGAGTAACTTTGTGCAATCTTGATGTGCTGCTGCTGAAAACAGCAAAAAGGACTTGCTATCAAGCAACTGAAAGCCACATCAGATGCTAAATAGCCCTCCCAAGTTAGTGCCTCAGGAGTGGCGTCAGTGGTGCATTTTCAAAAAGTATCCAAGGCTTCTACCAGGTAATACTTACTTGCTTGATTTCCCTTAAGAGATCTGCATCTACGTAATAGCGCTCTTCAGCCCTCACTGCACCAAAGTGGTTCTGCATCCTGATTTGGGACATGAGCTCATTCAGTCTGCCCTGGAAAGACATATGTGGAAAAAAAAGGGCTTAAATCACACAACTCATTCAATTCTGTCAGCAATGCTCCAGCATCCAACACTGCCTGTGTCATCAAAGCAGGACATATTACTTGCTCACTCCACTTTTTTTTTTTTTTTTGAAGACATGTGAAGAACATGTCTTTCAAATTAATACTTAAAGTATTTAATGCTTTGTGTTAATTAAAGTAAATATAACTATAAAATACATTAAAAATAACACACATTAATTCTTATAAAAAAACCTCACAGATGTGTTAGCAGTCACGCAGCAAGCGTATGACACTATAACCTAGAAACGCTGCTTGAAAACGTTCCGCAAATACTACACCTAGTTTGGAAAACTTACTTTATAATGATTTATGAGGAAAAAACACAGTTGTTGGCAGAGATCTGGTAACTACTCACCTTGAACTGCGTAGGTGCATTTAGTTCACATTGAATTGTATCTAACTGTACACGAAGCTGTTCTTCGTCTGCTTGAATGGCATAGCCACTTTTCCTTTGGATTTCCTGCTTTATTAAGACCTGCAAAAGAAGCCTCTGAGGATCACTAGAGAAGCCTTTGTTCCCTCCCTACTAGCCCTTCCATCTCTCTCCTTGCCCCTTGTCCAGCCTCCCTCTAGTCAGATTTGTTCCGTTTTGTAGTCTGCTCCTCAGAGCAATCCCACAGCTTCCGGGTAAGCGAGAGAGAAGGTTCCCAGAAGAGCAAGACATGCTTCACCCCTCCAGTCTGTCCTGGCGGATTTGCAAGTGACTTAAAGCAATAGCATTAGATGAACATTGGCCAAGCTATGGGGCTGGGCACAAGACTGAAGAGGTCAAACTGTTAGTTCGATGTCCCCTGTCAGTTTGCTTGCTGGCACCAGGCTGTCCGTCAGAGTTCTTTACAACATCCACTTTACCTGTAGAGTCCTATGAGAAAGCTTCATCAGTTTCCTTTTGTACTGTGCAATTTTTGCCATCGTTGTTGTCTGGTTTTTTTGCAGCTCGCTGATATCTTCTGATATTATCTGCAAAGGAGATGAGTCAGTTGGAAGCTAGGACACTTTTTGATAATATGGCACATTAGTCCTGCTTTCATACCAGGAGTTCCAAAACAGTAATTGGTCCGGCAGTTTGGGGTCCTCGCCAGAGATGCTCTCAGGAAGCTGTTTGCATGCTAGTGTTCTGTGCAGCAGCGTCATCGCTGCTTTTGGGTCCCCTGCTGCCAGTGCTGACTTTACACTGGACCACTTCTGTTCTGGCTGCTAGCTATTTTCATACATAGCAGAAGAAATTGAATGTAGCTGAGATTTCCCTAAGGCATCAGAAACCTGGGTGCCCAGCTTAGAGTCCTAACCTGTACAACTTAATTCAGCTGTTTTGAAAGTCCATGTTTGAATTAACATGTAACACCCCAGTAAGCTTGGAAAAAACAAACACACCCCCACCCACCCCACCACACCGCACTGATCGGATTTTGCCCAAAAGAAAAATACACGCAAAGCATACAAAAATACACAACAAAAGGAGATCCTAGCTTGTAGAAAAAGGATAGTCAGGGTGTTTCAAAGTTACAAGTGACAAGAACTGGCCTGGCACCCTGTGGATCTACTGTCATTCAACAGATATGTGATTAGCAGAGGCCTAAGACATGCTAACTGCTTCATTAAGAGTAACTATTTATTTCTTCCTCCTTTGCAGGCTGGAAAGGGAAATTATACTACCTCCTGGCAGCTGCTAGGGCAAACAGAAAGGCTGCTTCAGATAAGCTATCTATTCCCTCAATGCGTGTTTTCCCAATTCACGAAGGCTCAGGATTATGCAGATAAAAAAAGTAAAGAAAGGGAGAAGTTTGTAACAACCACAAAGGAAATCAGCCTAAGTTATCTGTTAGCCACTAGAGCGTACCTCACTTTTTCAGCTGCAGAAATAACAAGAGGGGGGAAAAAAGTAAAATAAAATCACAGCTCCCTGTTCATTGCTTCAGCACCAGCTCTCCACCCACAAGAGGCACAGAAGGGAGGTTAACTGAGTACCAACTCCCTCCTCAATAACAAACAGTCACAATAAATATAAGAAACCTTACATCTAATCGGGTTTGATGCTGTTTGGTCATCTGATCTTGGACCTTCAGTCTTCTCAGCAGTTCCTTGAAACCCACCATTGGCACAGGAATAAGCCTACATGAAGAAAAATATTTCTCACAACACATTTTTAAACAAGACATATATTGGGCAGTAATTGCACATACAGTACGATCTTAAATTGCAGGTGATCTTGCCCCACTACAAATTAATATATCTCTTGGTAAGTTCTATAGTCCTCATTATTCCTAACAGTTATAACAGAAGTCAGCCCAAGTTATCTTCAGCCACCGGAAGGTACACGGGTACTTCACTCTACCAGTTGTAGAAATAATAAATAAATAAATCCTGATTGTGAAAAACGTCTCATCTGAACTAGTTCAGATAACAGAACATCGCAACTCCAAGTCACTCAAGTAAGGTTTTTCATCCTGCTTCCCCTTAAGCACCTAAATGGATAAAGGGATTAGGCAGGCATTCCTAGTTATCCTCACTACCTCAGATGACATCTCTACTGGACAAAGTTATTCTGCAAGTGGTTTCTTACGAGTTACCTTGAAGAATAACCCAGAATATTCTGTATTTCTCTTCTCTCTTTACAAGTCTTTTTTTGTAATACTCAATTAGACTTACTTGTCAGGATCAGGATTATCAACTTTGGCTTGTTCCCAGATAATAGGATCAACACCTTAAAAAAAAAAATGCAAGTTTTGATTATACACAGATCTGAATAGGTTATCTCACAGCTGTTAAATAGAAGTATGGTAAAAGACACAAAACCCATGAGCTACAGTAAACTGAATTACTGTTGTACAAATTAAGGTTAAACAAACAAGGTTAGCTCTTAAAAATCTTGGTCCTGGGCTGTGGCAATAAGTCCAGCCCAAAAGACTGTCAAGCACACCTACTAGTTTGAAAGGGTGAGAAAAAAAACAACTAATAAATGATAAAAATCAAACTGTACATGCTTCTGGAGGAAAAAAAAAATCTTTCTGTTCCCACTGTATGCTATAGTTTTATCATCTTTCCCCTCAAAGTTAGTGAGTGTGTATGAATAAATAAAATTGATGTTTAAGTGATCAAAGTACTAAACCAGTTGGGAAAAAAAATTGCAAGTAGGATTCATCAGGATTCACATGAAGGACTATTACCTCTTCAGAGAACTGTTGCTTGTTTTGCCATGAAGTGCTTCATCAAGTAAATCCATACATTAAAAGCAATCTAGTTGTACAACACTTAATTCAACACCATAATGCATGTCATTACCTTCTCCAGACCTTACTGCAAATCAAACCAGTGTTTAAAATGCACATGATTAACTATTGGGGGGGGGGGGGTGTAAACCGACAGATACAGAAGTAACCAACTTCCTGACCAAAAAAAAAACCAAAACAAAACCAAACCAAACCACCAAGAAAAAAGTTATCAGTTTCAGGCCAGCATAAAGAGCAGACTAGGACAGTCAGCTGTTACGAACCATAATTGTGGCATTTTTTTAAACAACATTCCAGGTCATTCTGCAAACATATTGCCTTAATACTCACGTCTGTAGGTGTGACTGCTTCCTTAGCCAACCTACAAAATGAGCCTCCTTCTCAGTCATGAACTGACAAGTTGTGCTCAGCCACCAACCCAAAAGCCCTGCGATAGGCCTCCAGTATTATCGAAGGCCAACTTCCTCCCTCGTAAAGCAACAGCTCCTCCCCAGCACTGCAGTAATTGGAAGACATTGCTCACCTCTGATTTTTCTGCAAGAATAGGCCTAGTTCTTTTTGCAATCCAGGTATGGTAACTTTTGCTATATTTTAGCATTATGGGGTCTTCATCAGCATGCTCTCTCTCTCTCTCTCTCTCTATAGTCTGCTGGATACTGCATGCCACTTTCCCTGACTCATTACATGGAGCTCACAGCAAGAATTACATGCAGTACTGTACATAAAGAATAAGCTATCAGTTACCCTATGAAGGGGCATGAACAGCACTGCAACACTCTGGAACAAAGTGGTATAGTTACTACCTCTGGCCACGCAATGTCGGTATACAGTCCAAATGACCCAGAAAAAAATGGGAGGTTAAACATAGATGTGATTATTCTGATATTTAACTTGTTTTTAAATCAGACAAGCTCAAATGATTTATGATAGCTAAAGAGTACAGCCTAGTGTTGCGTGGCACATTACTGCTGAATTAAAATTTTCCACAATTGCGTTCATAACCTAGCGGCACTTCAGTATTAAAGCTGGCTGCAATTATAACCGTGCCATCAAGAGCGCCTTGGAAACCCCTGCAGCATTAAAAGGTGATTCTAGGGGGACGTGACACACGTTGTTCCCAGAGACCCGAGAGAGCCCGACTAGCAGCCTGAGCGCGCCGCCTCAGGCTACGTACCAGCAGGAGGGTTCTGCAGGAGCTGTTTGACTTGTGCCGGGGAAAGCTCTGTTCTGGCCATGGACAGGGTGACCCCCAGCTGCTGCAGGGACGTCTTTATGTTGGCTTGCTCAAAGTGTGCGTAGAGGGTCGTTGCTGGAACTCTCCTAGAAGTGCCATTGGGCGAGCGCTCGACAACATAAATGATGACTTCAGTCCTGAGCAAGGCAAAGGACACTGTCAGCCAGCAAAGGCCAGCAGCTTAGACAAACGTGATCAACAGCAAACCTATGTCTAAGTTAACACTTCTCCCAGTTGACTGTTAACTTTAGCAAATTGAGATATGAAATAGCAGTAAATCTAGGGTTTAACATAACAGGATTAAATGAGAAAGATATGCTGTAAATACACTACAGATTACAGCTTCCTCCTGTTTTAACAACCATATCCTATGATGACGCGCTCATCAGGTTGCATTTCAACATACACAAGAAAGATACCGGACTTAATTTCTTAAGGAAAAAAAAACAACAGCAAGAAATTAGAAATGAAGTCAAACACAGAAAGAGTAGAGGCAAAACTGAGGAGAAGGGAAGAGTGAGCCATTGCCATTTAGGAACATCAACCATATTACAACAACAAACACTCACGCACTGAAGCGGACTAAGGGCCAACCCTTTATAGAACACAGAGGTGGAGAAAAGGACAAAACCATATCAAGTTCACATACTGGTCATCTGGCATTGTTCTAACACCTTCTACGTTGACAGTGAGGGTCTGGTTTCCTCCCAGAATTTTGTGTAGCGATTCCACTAGCTGCTGCTGCTGGCTTCGAATGTCTATTTCTTTTCTATTAAAGACCAAAACCACGAGGCCATCTTCATCCTTGTTGTTCGGCATTAAACTGTAACCCACAGCCTGCAAATGAACAAACAAAAACCAGGGATGCATTCCTCAGCAAAAGCATACCTATGCAGTATGAAGGGGAGAGGCTAAATTAAGATGAATCCCTCAATTTTTAGAACAAGTGGTTCTAAATGGAAGGCACAACATATTCAGAGATGTGGAAACATAAATCAATCCCATTTTTAAAAATAAAAGTGCACTCACAAGGCCGTCAGTAGAGTAGCTTCTGAAACAGTTTCATTTTGCAAAAAGTTTTAAAGTGATCATTCCCCATCTTCAAATACTAAAGCTACTGATCAGGAGATGCCAATTTAGCAGAACGTTTATGGTCCTTTAGAACTGATCTCAGTCAGCACCAGTCTACAGATTTACACTTCTTCTAAGGTGCAAACAGAACTGCAGGACCAGACTCCAATACAGAACAATTACTAGGGAGTTCCAGAAGCGGTTTGTAAAGTTAAATTTCCAGATGCCTGAAAGAAAAACAGTAACTAAAATAACCTAAACAAAAGAGGCCAACCATAATCCTCTATGGATTTCTGGAACTCACCCTTGGTATTTTCTTACTGGAGGAGATCAAGACAGTTTACCTGACCATACAAGCCAAAACACAGACATGGAATATTGCTACTACATAAGGCATGCATCAATCAACATTATCACAGAAACGTTTGGGACAGGCAGTTTTCTTTTGATTATCAGGTATCATGGCTTCGTACAATTGCTAATAAGGCTTAAGGCCATCTTTACCCTCTCCGTGATAAAGCTGTAGCAAGAGTAGGTGTTTTAATGCAACATCATAACCTAGTACAGGGACACTATCTGTGCCACCCTGTGACACTAGGGTGCTATCTGTGCCAAGTATCAGGATCTTTTTCCCTTTCAAAAAAAATCCTGTCAGCTCCACCATGAACTCCACATCTCCTGTGAGACCTACTCATTAGAAGCTAAAGCAGAGCAGGCAGTTTGTTTTGCCTCTGTACCGTTGCACCAACATATCACTGGCAACGTGTTAGACAACGGGTGCTTTTCAAGGCACTGACACCGCATGTGGGTCAGTTACTGTTTTCCCTGCAAGCGCAGCTGAAGAGAGAAATGAGCTGAGGACTTGCCAAAGAGCCCACCCTCCCTCAGCCCTGGGTAACGCACCCTGAGGGTAAGCCTCACAAAAGCAGCTTTCTTCAGGCGCGCTATCGTATCACAGCGCACAACAGTGAAAGCTGGGGAAGAATTATGCACTATAACAGTGTCGAACAGAAAACTGGCTTTTAAGAAAAGTGACTTTTAAGTTACTGGTATTGCATTTGTCCCTGAATTAAGCTGTTCCTTCTTAAACTCAAAAGAAAAAAAAAAGACACACATACAAATCACCTTTTTTTTTTTTTTTTTTTAAAACATGCATCCCTTTCATTTTCATAGCTGTGAGAAAGGCTTGCACTGGGAGAACTCACACACAGAAAACTAAAGCTCATTATATTCTAAGTAGTACTACCAGCACACCTATTACTCCGCTGGTGTTTCTGTTAGAAAAAAGTCTACCAGGATTTCTTTACCGAACGTAATAATTTCAAGCTACCACGATTATTTAAATTCATCATGGTTCTTCATATGTTGGCCTGAACCACATACCTTAAAAGCACACTTTTCCTGGTTAAAAACTATACACAGCTCAGCTGACTTGGAGTTGGACTTGTGTAAAATTGGATTCCTTTACTCCTGTCGAAACCCTGTGAGTTAACTTCATTCCTACTAGATGTCTGATGCTGACAGAGACAATAAACCAACTAGTTTACGATGCTTTGCAACGATACCTGCGCTAGTAACGTCTACACTTTTTCCTAGATGTCTGCCATTGATGGCATATAGCCGATTTCTTTTCCTGTATTTCATATATATAATAATTCATTTTAGATACAGAAATTCATACCAGCAGCGGTACTACTCAAGTCACAGAGACAAGAGTCAATTTAGTACACGGTACCACATGTCTAACTTGAAAGGAAAACTTCTGCTTTTGGAGAAAAAAAATAAAATAAAATAAAGCCAAGAAAGCTCTAAAGCCACTTCAGGTCACAACTCACAAGAAAGCATGTTTACAGGTGCATTATCAGCAAAACATTCAAGATGACACCATAAAATGTAATGCAAAAGAAGCCAAACGTTTCTTATGCAGATATTGAGTTGCAAAGATTTTTTTTTATAAAATCTCCTGATTCATGCATCAGAACTAGTCTTAATTAAGCATTAACCTACATTCAGGTTAGCAAGTTTACACTTCAAAGAATAAGCTTAGAAAAGGAGGTCATTACTGCGCTTGACCTGAATTGGCTTCTAAGTCCAAAGCTTAGCAAGACGGTCAGCAGACATGAGACTTGCAGAGGATGAAGAGCTACATATTCTTTGCCGACATGAGAACCAGAATGAGGAATTGTTGACAATATCATGCGTGGAATGAAGTCAGCTTTAGCACTTGCAAGGATGAAGGCAGAAAAACCCCAAAGACTGTCCATTTAAGATAGTACGTACAGGCCAGGTTCATAGAGCATTTTTCTGAAATTCATATCCACACATCTGCTCTAACTACACACACAGGCTCATCTCAACACTATCATAGAGAAGCCTGTTTTTGTCATCCACGTATGCCTGTCTAGTGCATGCGCATCAGGCATGTCTACTCCCTCAGCAATACCCAGATTTCCAGCATCTATACATCTTCAAACCTTTTATTTTCATACATCAGATTTGCATCCATGACCTGGAAAATATTACTTCAGATTATTCTTAACAGCAAGCAAAACTAATCTAGCTCTTGTGACACATTTAGACGCAGAACTAGCAAGCAAGCTAACCGCTTCAAAATTGTTTGCAGACAGATAAATAATACCATACCTTAAATCTGCAAAATGGGTTTTCCTGCGTGAACTCCACTGGAGCAATGTTGTTGTTGAAGTATCCTTTGCCTGTTCCCCAGAAGGCCTGCAGCTGGTTCCATTTTGCCAAAAGAGCATCTCTCTCATCCCCCAAAAGCGTTGGAGCCGAGAGGGCGCTGGCTGTGTTGATGAGCTGGTTAGACTGGGCAGGTGTTTGCGCCGGCTGGCTGAACAAGCTGCTCCCCAGTGCTGTGTCAGAAGGCAAAGAACAAGTAAACTCCTTTATGAAGGAAGAAAGACTTGCTTGCTAACATATACCATCTGCACATGATCACTATCACTTCATATTTTGAGAAGCAAAACAAACACACAGGACAGGTAAATCAGCGTCAGATATTTTCTTCATAAAAGCATCTTTTTACATCCAGTCATCATCAGTAACAGTAATTACTGAATGCTGAATTAGAAGAAAAAACTCCCTCTTTTTTTTCCCTTTAGCTGAGACATCTATGCTCACCTGCTACACGATCATCTCCAATATCTTAATCTGTAGGGTAGACCTGTTACAAGTTCAACGGACTCAGAGCCTGCAGCTGTTCATTCTAACTTGAATTTAAACTAAACGCAGCACTGTTTTCCTCCCTTTTGTAATAACTACTGTTGGCAGTCACCACCTTACGTAACTGCTTTTTCTACTGCTGCTAAACCGGAGAGACAAATATTGTCATCAGAAACTCAAGGGTGAAGCTCAGACAGTTGCTTGAGCTCGTTTAAGAAAAAAGGTGAGGACTGCAAAGGTAGGCATTTTAAAACTAAATTTCTAGGACGTCTCCATCAACCAAGAGATGAATGGTTACAGGCTCCTTTCATGATACACCACTAGCTCTACCGCTCTAAAGTCTGTTGTAGTCTCACACACTTCTTAGAAACCAAGGGCGTAAACAAATAAAAGACCATACTTACTAGTTTGCTGCTGCTGCGTACCGAAGCCTCCAAAGCCTAACCCGGTTCCCAACCCAGTACCCAAGCCAGTTCCAGTTCCTGTGCCAAAACTAGTACCAAACCCAAAGCCTTTGTTCTGGGAAGCACCAAAGAGTCCTGAAAATAAAATAAGAGTTATTGAGCAAAATATGAGAACTGTACTTCTGAATTGCAAAAAAATGATTTGTTATGGATTGACGCTAAGTTTAATTCTAAGGCAACTATTTTCAACTTTGTGATCTCTTACCACTGGTGCCTGTATTGGTGGGAGCAGAAAAACTAAACGCTGACCCCGCAGTGGTGGTAGTTGTCCCAAATCCTCCAAACGCACCTAATGAACAAAGTTCACAAGTAAGGCAGACAGCAGGTTGTGAGCTGCAACTGTGCAGAACAGGACAATAAACTGCACACTTCGATGGTGGTATGAGAGGAGATAACGACAGATGAACGTATTATGTTACAAGCATGTTGGTCACACTGATCATGGTTACCAAGTCCATTGTCTGAGTAAACGGGAAAGAAAACATGAATCAGAAAGCCAACACATCCATGGTGTGCAAGAAATGCCAAAAAAAAAAAAAAGAAAAGAAAAAAAAGAAGAAAGGCAATGGTTAATAACCTATTCTTTTACCATCGGGACATGCTTTCCTTATCAAGTCACAACTAATACTAGTATTTCTTAGCCATTCTCAGGAATACTTTTAGATTATGTTGTTGCTAGGTGTTCAAAAAGTGATCTGATGTCTTGCAAGTTTAAAAAACGTTTTTAAGCGTTAAGAGCAAAAATAGAAGCTAAGTGAGTTAAGTCTGAGCCTAAGGTATACACAATTGCTGTGCCTACACAGGAGCGCTATCACACTAGCGATTCCTTTCTATATGCAGGAAGGATTCTACAAGGTCCTTTTTGGGGCTTGTTTCCCCATTAAACCTGGTTTTGAGGTTCAGTCATCACCAGAGGGAGACAAATCCAAAAGCTACAGGTGGCAGAGGGAGACCCTGGTAAACAAGGGCCTGAGCTCAACCACGCCAGAAAACCTGCAAATCCATATTCCCATTTGCCCCCTTGACAAGAGTTGGCTCCACCACAGGGCAGTGGCGTGGTGGAACACGTTACCAGCCCTGAGGGCCTCCCAGCGACAGCCCTGCGCAGGCACAGGGCCCATCGCCATAGCCAAGCGGATAGTAGGGCCATGGCACCGGCAGCACCTCCTGTGACAGGAGCTTCCCTGACCCTCAACGCCATCCCCTTTCAGACAGGTGGCACCACCTCAACGAGCCCCTGTCAGCAAGGAAGGGGATGCTCCAGCACCATCTCTGCGCAGCCCCTGAGCTACAGTGGTGCCCACACCATCCGGCCAAAACCACAGGATACGAGATAGTTACTTAGATGACTGGACTGTTTAAGGCTGAGATGGGCGATTAAGAGGGAGGAAAACCCTGGCATAAGCTTACATGCTTAGTAGGTGCCCTTATCCACAGGATTCATCTCAGACAAGAAGCTGCAGCATGCACTGTTACTCTGTGCTTTACAGGAGGCAGCAGCACAGCCCTCTTCCATCTCCAGAGCACGTGGAGATGTGGCGTTTCCCTCGGGTGATGCCCGCTCAGGCAGCCTGTGCTGTGATTCTCCTACCTCTGGGAATTCCTCCAGGCTACCCCCGTCAGCCCGTCTGACGGCCTCCAGCACCGCGAGCGCTGTCCTCAGCTCCAGCAGGCAGAGACATAGCCTGTGCACACCTGGCTAGCTGTAAAGTATCAAATGGCTTTGTTGCCAGCTGTTTTGAACTTGTCATTCTTCATGTGAGCAAATCTGTGAAGCAGGCACTGCCTCTGCTAACTCATATGTCAATAACAACAACAACAATGTTGCATCTTCAGACTTGCTCTACTTACCATCCTCTTGTATAAATAAGAGCTAAAAAGCTTAAACTGAACTTGACATTGCATTTTATTCTCATTCAGCATCAAGCTTAATGCAACTGGATATAAGTTGTTCCCTTTAACATTCAAGTTTCAACCCCTACCAGAAGGTGAGGAACTGTAACAGGAGTACCATCACATAAGCACACTTTTTAGGTAGTTTCATAATTTAGTAGCTTCTCTCAGAAAAAGATCTAGAACTGTAAGCTACGAAATAAAAATATGGATCCAAGTTCTCTTCTGGAACAGTTCAAATTCAGCTAGAGAAATACAGTTTAATAGCATTCATACCAAATAAAAAACAAGTCAGACCCTTCAAGTGCACAGAACAGAGAAGAGTACTCTAACACAGGGAGCAATGACACTGTGGAATGAATAGAATTCCTATACGAGCAGCTGCAACAGGATCCCATGGGCTAATTCTACAGAACTGAAAATACTAGAAATCAACATAGTTAAGCATTTTCATGTAAAATGGAAAAATTTTAAGCTGAAATCGTATCAGTTGATTACTCAGAATTGATGGATCTACACTGGGCTATAAATGCTTTTTGTAAGAAATATCCAGTGTACTCATCACACAGAAAACACTCTCCCAAAAAACTAGAAAATCTTTTCAAGACAGCCTGGGACATGTGCCAGAACAATATTTAGTAAACTGAGATTACAGCAAGGGCTGTTAATTTTGTGCTGATCGTATAAAATTTGTTTCTCCACAGAAACTGCTTAGGTGTAGTGCATTCATGACAACCAACAGAAGGCCAATGAGAAGACACAGGAAAGATGAAAAACATGACTGCAGTAGTCCAAGAATCTCATGTAAGGAAACGTGGCATTAGGAACTAACTCTGCAATTATTCCCAATTACCTGGATCTGAACACAGAATCGATGTTTCAGTTCTGCTAGGTAATCGAGGCTTAATTTTAGACTAGGCAAAATGGCAGGACACCATGATTTGTTTCCATTTCAGCAACTGAGAGTTTGGGATACAGTTCCTTTTTCCCCTCAACAGCTGTTTCTTGAGAATTTAATAGGCAAAAAAAAATAAAAAAAAAAAAAGAACTATGCATCTACAGGTCTCAAATCCATTCCACTTTCAGAGCGTTTATCTCCGATTCCCACTGAATATGAAGCAAGTAGATTAGTCCTAAATACAGACTCTCAGTTAAGAAAATAATTCTTGGACCCCTGCTATTAACATTTATTATAGAACAAGCACGTATGCATTATCTACCTGCACTTGCCAGACTGTTACCAAAATGGAATGGTGGAGTTGAGGTAGTGGAAACACCGAAATTCCCAATATTAAAATTCACTGCAGGATTAGCAGTTAATCCGAAACCCCCAAAATTAAACCCACTGGCAGTGGAGTTTGCAGTTTCAAGCCCACCAAATCCTGACAAGTGGGAAGCAGAAAAAGAGCAAGGCAACATTAGTTTGAAGTAAAAAGCAGGTTCAGGAAGTAAAAGCTAAAATATTTTCCATCACAGGAGACAAAACAGGCATAGTTAAAAAATGAGAGTAAGAAGTCAATTGATATTAAAGAGCATTTATTGAACACAAGTAAGACAATTGCAAGCTTACTGTCTGACACACTCTCCTTGCATCGCTACTGTAATCATATTTTTCAACTATACCGCATGTAACACACTTGAGTCTTTTCTGTTCCCATTTCTAAGTTAAACAGGAAAATTTCCATGTGATTAAAGATTTGCATTAATAGTACTTTTTAAACCACCTACGACTGCTGAATACAGTTGCATCAGTACCAGCACGACTGACAGTAGTATCATTATTTCACAAACTATCAGGAAGGCAAGGATAAAGGATCTTTATGCCCATATACTACCCTCACACGGGTGGCTGTAGCAGCGTAACCACAGCAATACAACTTGAGCAGTTAAAGCACTACGAGCTACTAAGATACATCTTCACTACAGTAATCACTCTGATAACAAGCACTTAAGGGCTAACAATCACTCAAGTGCATTCACAACTTCTCTCTGTCCACCTTTGTGCTTGCAGGTGTCTGACCTCACGCACCCAAGGTTCTCCAGGCTAAGAAAAACGGGCCAATACACTGCATCCCTATCAGGTCCTCCTCAGCAGTAGCTGGGGAACAGGCTCATGCTAGGCAGGCAACTGGGATTTCTTGGGTGTGTGGTCTGCACGCACACGAAACCAAGTAACTAGCTGTGCAAGCAGTAAAATATTATCTTTTCCCTTAAGATGGGCCAGAAAGTCTGCATCTAGAACAATGACACAATCAGGAGGAGAGCCCATAAAGTAACCCGAGATAAACCAGCAAAGATGACAAGCCCTGTGCATACTAGCCAGAGAAGACACGACTCTTCAATCTATTTTAAACATTCCAAAAGCTGAGAAAGAATAATTTTACTAAATGAGAGTAGAAAGGCTCTGATTTACATTTCACCAACACTGGCAGTCATTGGGCAGCAACAAAAAGAGGGGCAGGGGGAGTCTTTCAGTCTTTCCAAGTTCAACAGTGTTTTGCACTTCTCAGAAATTGACTTCCAGGAGCCTCTCATTCTTAGAGAAACATTACTGCAATTGAAAGTGAGAATCTGAGTGATCTGTCAGCATCAGTCAGGTAACGCATACCCCGCACGCTCTAAGAGTGACTAACGATATTTAAGCATTTCCACAACTGCATGAATACAGACAAGCGCCGGCTAAGTTCTTACAGTGACCTCCCACTGCTACTTGCAGCTGTACCCACAGGAGAAAGACATACAAACAAACGGTGGGGGGGGGAAAAAAAAGACTAACAACAACCATAATCAGAGAGACAAACTCTGATCTAAAGTGCCTGGGAGAAAAAAGCCGAGGGGTCCGTCCTGGAGCCCACACCGCCGCCGCCAAGAACTGAAAAAACAGTCTCGGCCCAGACATCCCA